CACACACACACACACACACACACACACACACACACACACACACACACACACACACTGTAACAATAAATGTCATATCATATATACCTGCAGAGTCGGTTAAGTCAATCTGAGTGCTGTACATGAAAGTGTTCAGTAAGATTTATCACATAAAGGTTGTTTATGACTTTCCTGTCACTGTTGTCCTCAGAGGGTCTTCGTCCCGAGACCACGCAGCTCTTCTCCTCCACATCCAAAAAGAAAGGGAAGAGTGGGAGTAAAGGTGGAGCAGCAAACGAAGAGGAGCCCAAAGCGGACTTCCAGCCTGTTAGCATTCACTTACATTTCAAGCGATATGTTTTTGATCCCCATAAAAAGATGGTTCAGTCTTGACCTTGGCTGACGTCTCCGAGTGATGCTACAGTCGCTGCAGTAGCAGCAGGGAGCGTCAGGGAGCGTCAGAGGGCTTCTCGAGGTGAGGTGTGCTCCAGCTCTGCAGATCAGGGATATGTTATTTCACTTTGCTTTTTTCTCTCTCTTTGGATGGAGACAGTTTACTGAAATGCTGTGTTTGTGGAATGCTGAACACAAACAGTGATCGTTTTCTTCTCCTTTAAGGAGTTGGACTGAGTTCTCCATCACGAGTGTCCAAGCTGTCTGCTCTTTCCAACACATACATTTGGTTTTTCTTTCAAAATGTTGACTTATTCTCTTATTTTTTGCTGATGTAATCTGAATGAGTTCTGCCTAGCAACAAAACTTTCTTTTGCTGTTGCTGTAATTTCCTGAAAACACTTTATTATCAGAAAAACAGATCTCAGGTTTGTTCAAATGTTCCTCCATCTCTGGAAAAACATGAAGTTGCAGATTTGTATTTGTATTCACTGGCTCCTGTTTTGTCATTTGGGACTTACTTGCCTCTGCATTTCTTTTTTTATTTTTATTTTCTATGTAATGAATCAATGCCAGGTGACTAATGATTTGCCTTTGAACTGTGTGATTTGTGCTTAAAACTCAAGTTATCAGAAAGAAAAATAAATAAAATTCAAATTTCTGCTCAGTTGTGATTGCATTTGTGATTCATGCATTAAGTTAGGAACAAAATTACAATCCAGTCTACTGATAAAACATTCCATTCAAGCTCCCAATCCTCAAGCTGATTTTTACTGGAATTCGGTTACAATTGTTTWATATTATGTGTTTTTCCTTTGGGCTGCCTGTACCAAGTTTGTTTAATATATTGTAATCACTGTTTTATACTTAAAAAGGTATATTTACCATAGTAAATTATTATAATTAAGTTAACAAATTTATATCTGCAAAATGACAACAGCAATAATCACGTTTGGCAAATTAGCTTTTAAAATGTAACAATAATCACTGACAAGAAATTATTACAGTGCATTCCTATGTTTTACAATTTGGTTTGAATGGCCATGTCAAAATAATATTGCACTTATAAGTCAGTTTAGCCTATTTTATGTTTTTAGCCAAGTGGATGTAGTATTTTTCATACTTGTTCTTGCTTGATGAGCTTTGAAATCCTAATTGTTCGTCTCCAATTAAGTAATTTCATAATGGGTAAAACCCTAATTATTGGACAAATAAGGTTATTTGGTTAAAACACGGGGATACCATGTTGTTGACATTAACAGATATTTGAAAAGCATTTGGACACGCAGCTTTTTTGGTTAAAGCCATCGCTCAGTGGAATGCTGCTCCAGAYCATGTAAAAATCTGTAGTTCTTTTATTAGTTTTAAAAACAATCTAAAAAAAACAACATCTTAAATGTACTCAATGTTGCAATCATTGAATTGCACTGGGTAATCGATTTTAAAGTTTGCTTCTGGTTGTGTGCGTTGGAAGGTGGGGTGGAGGTGGGCATGATTACATTGTTAAATGTATTTCGGAATTTTTTTTCAGGTGGGGATGTAGAGACCTGCAGGTCTTTGGTTGGTTTTTGAGGTGATCRTGTGGAAGATTTTAAAACTACTTAATACTGCAATCAGAATTTTTTTTATTGGATGTTTAGTGATATAACCTTTACATTATACTTGGAGAGTGGGGTGGGGTGTTTGTGTTTTTATCATTAATTGTAAAATGTTTTATTTTATTATTATTTTTAATTTTCTGTTTTTTTCTCTTCCATTTCCTTTTTATTACTGTTGGATGTTGTTTTGTTTTTAACTGTCTACTGCAGATGTAAATTAGCCTTAGGCTAAATCTGGTGCAATGCATCAAATGTTTTTATGTTTATGTTTTAATTGCACACTGTCCTGATGAAATAAATTCATTCATTCATTAGAGTCTAGGGTTGATTTATCATTTTTGCTCCAGCTCAATTCATTTGTAAAAGAAATAAATCAAGTCCAATATCCTTTTTAGTGTTACCTTTCAGGCATCAATCAACACTAGTTTGCAAATTAAAAAGATTATTTAGATTTTAATTGAAATTTGTCCACTAAATTAAAAGAAAGACAAGGACAAAACCCAAATGAAAGACAAAGTAAAAGACTGCAGCTGATTGATGCTGCCCGTCAGTGGAGGCAGTGGTGGGAAAATCAAAGTGTCATTTCTGTGTGTATTTACATGTGTCCATCAGGTGTTGACGGTTCGGGGAGGGACACTTTGTGTGTGAAGGATGATGTCAGCTCACGGTTTCTGTGAACAGCAGCTCTATCTCAGCAGGAATCTGTGGAAATTGGAGAGAAGACGGAGGAGGAGTCCCAGGAGCAAAAGGGGGGACACAGGCAGGATTGTTCCACTGAGTGACAGTCCTTTTAGTCTTATCTCTCCTTGTCCCTCCTATAGGAAACCAGACGGGTGGTGGTGGTGGTGGTGCTGAGGGGTTGCCTTTTACTCCTCGTCTTTACAATTGCTCCTGCTCCTCTTTCATTCTCCWTTCATTCTAAATTTATAGGAACCCCTGTTCCCCTCCTATCACTGGAGTAGAAATCATTTTCTTGGTATTTCCCTCATGGATTACCAAACTAAAGTAAAGGTATACTTTTGTTTTATGTAAACATTTATGTTCATGTTTTCCTGCTCTGTAGTCTAACACAGGGGTTCCCAAAATTTTGCAAACAGCATTAGCTTCTGGCCTGTGACCGCACTTGCAAACCCACAAACAATGCTGTACATTTTGATGAATATTTTTCTCACTTTTATTTACTATTCAATAATTATTGTATTTGTTTAGCACAAGAATTTTATTATGTTTTAAACACTGCATTATATTCCCACTGAAAGACATGTTTAACAAACTCCCTTATTAAAAATAATACRTTGAAATAATGGTAAAACACATTTTTCTATTTGCTTTTTTATTATTTGTTTTCCTCCAGCRTTCTGAGGCCCCCTTAGCATCTCCCATTTTAAAAACCCTGACCTGATGTGTATCAAAACATCCATTATGTCTTCTGCTGGGATAAAATATCTTTTACTTTTATTCTTCTTGATGCAGTCTGTGTTTCATCGATACAGACATGGGAATGTGGATAAAATGCATTTGTTCATATTTTACCTTGTTGTGACAGAGCTGTTTGTGGGTCTGTTTGAGATGGTCTGACGTGACTAAACTACATTTAGTTATTTATCACAGCAACAGCAAACAAGCAGCTGTTCTCACCTCAGAGCTTGTGTGATCGCACCTTTATGTGACAATTGATACATTTTAGCTGGAATAAGTGACTCCATGCTCCTCTTCTTTAAACCAGTAGTTCAGATCTTTTGAAGGTGGGTTCTGTGAAGCAGTTCWAAACAATTCATATCTTACCTGCTGTAGATAACTTTTTGAAAGAGCTCAGTTTGAAGAAGTAGATTTTAATTTTGTCTGCCTGACAAGGTATTGGCTATACTTTGCTGCCCTTATTTATATCAATACATGGAAAAATTATTTTATACACTACCTGGTGCAAATAAATAGTGAAGGCCCGCACTTTACTGTTTTTCTGTTTTGTGTCATAATTATCTACATTGTGTCTCTTTAAAATGTATGTTTTTTATTGTGCAAGTTTCTATGCTGCCATCAGCTTTGCATTGACTAAATATTCACAAAATAACGATGGAATACAAAGTTGATGCTGTAAAGGTTTACAACTGTTTGATTTTAAAATGGCAGAAATCCACTTTGATCCTGTGATTAGCCAACAGCTAACCCATCCAGTCAGAAATAAACATTATTTCTTCAAAATGAGCTTGTTCAAAGATCTATCTACAGCAGGTRAGATATTAATTGATCATAACCTTTCCACAGAAACCCACTTCAAAGGATCTGAACTATCCTTTTATCCTCAATTTCCCATTAGACTGTTCTGTCTACATCTCCCCTCGTCCTCACACAAAGATAAGACACAGCCATGCCTTCAATAACCTCGTCCTTATTGTTGGTGACCTGCAGGTCAGCTGGGAGTCRGGGGTCACAGTCTGAGCTCCTGCATGTTTATAAATGGGAAACGGTGTCTGATGAGTGCAGATAAAGAAACGGAGAGAAGAAGAGTATGTCGGCTGGATTACTGACAATAGAGTGCAGAGGAGGGGAGGCTTTAAAGCCAGAGATGCTGAAAAGACTAATTAGCAGCTGTTTAACTGGTAAGTGGATGCAACATTAATCAACTTAACCAGTGAAGTGGGTATGCTGCTAACATGCTTTATTGTATCACAATACCTTTTTATTTTCTTTCATTTCTCTGTCTGTAACTTCTTTCAATGCTGTTCTTTACTGAACAAACCAATACAAAATAATAGGTTTAAAATAAGGTTGGAGTATTTATTACATTTTATTTTGACAGCAAGAGCCATATTTAGCCATCAGACAAGCTGGACCTCACTAATGAGCACAGATATCACCCCAGACCCCCCCTGCCTCACTCCTCCCAACACTCACATGCAAATATAATTAGCCATGATTAAATTGGGTGGTGTTTAATTAAAACCCCCCACAGCCTTTTCAGATGACTTTTTCCATTTCCGGTGCAGCTTATCTCAAATCCTCCCATCAGCTGCACAAGTCTGTCAAGGTGTTTTTTTCTTTGCATTATGTTGTTGTAAATCGTAGAACGTGAGTTGACCTATTACTGACAATGGGGTGTTTAAAACTTCCATAAATAAAGTTCAACAACATGCTGGTCAACTGAAAAAGAAAATCTGTTTTTATAGCATTTCAATACACTGGGTGGTGTTCAAGTAACAAAATACAAGCAAAGTACTGGATTGTGTTAGTAAATGTGGAACTATTTTTGGTACTTTTCAGAAGATTCAGTCGTTATGTAAAAGTCTTAAATTGCACCATATTTCTCCATATTTTTCTTTAGGAGCCAATCTCTCTTGATCTTGAGCAATATTTCATAAAGACTTTATATATATACGTATTATAT